CAATGTGATAAAGCAGTCACATATATGTTGATTAAATAAAAGTTTGAATCTTACGCAATTATTAACTCAATATTTTAAAAGCTGATGACACGATCGTCATCAACATCAAAGATTATGACAGCCTTCAAGAACATGTCAGATTATTTTCTAAAAACTGTGTAAAAGCTTAATAATTTTGTGTTAAATTATAACACAATTTACTGTGAGTTCTTATCACCGTTTTTCTTTTATATTTTGTTAACTCAATTGTTTCTTCAGAATATTCCCATATTTTAGCCTCCCAACTATTTGTATTCCACAACAGCATTTAGTGCATTGAGAGAAATGCGTCTGACGATAACCGGTTTAAGTAAGTGGGAAGAAATCTCACTAGTACTGCTACAAGTAAAACAGCTGCCACTACCAATACTACTACTAGGACATTTAAAATTTCATAAAAATATTTTTGAATATTATCGTAGCATGATTAGAAAATTAAAACAAGATACTTCTAAGCATTGTGGGATTGTGTTGACATATATTCTTATAGTAGTTCAATTAGACTCGGTGCTTAACCTTCCCCCAGCATATTTGTCACCACTTTAGTCTTGTTGTTTACAGTCACTAAAGTTTTCGAGTTGCCACTGATGCCAACGGAAATTAGAATGCATAGAATACTAAAAAAAAGTGTGCAAACCGCTTATTTAAAATGTGATCTAAATATTGGCTTCGTTTTCCAAGAAAGCGCTTTTTGTCAAGTGAAGTTGTGATTCCTTGATCCATACTGTCTACATTCACTTAATAAGTGATACAGTACAAATACTATGAAGTAACATTCTCATTGAGTAGTCGCACATACGTCCAAGTTATCTCGATAGTGCAGTTATTTTACTTTGAGAATATACACCAAAACTTAAAACGATTTTACTGGGGAAAAAAGTAGATAAATTCCGGCATAAGGAAAGAAAAAACTTGTCTGCAGGATCTAGCTCAATAGTAATAATTGGCTGACTAGACAAACTAAATGCAAATAATCCAGTTTTAATTTTAAATCAGTAAACTAATAGGAAGTACTAAAAACTATTTTTCTTATCCTGTCGCTTTCGAACAACGTGAGGCTTTGCATATCAGAAATTTTTTCTATATGCAAACTAACTTCGTAATCTCTCCGTAGTCGTTTGTTTTAGTAATATGCTGACTGAGTAACAAATATGTCACTTCAAGCGATCATTTTACTAAGAATTCAGAACTAAAAATCTTCATTAAACTGTAACTAACTGGTCATTATATTTAAACAGAATTGTATAAAATAATCCTTAAGTTATCTATTCCGAAAAGAGAAGAATGATTTGAGCAGGATTTTGAACATACAGCGATTTCAGCTGGTAAATTACAAAAAGTAATACAACGTAGCACGGAATTTCAATCATTCTCAAAAGTGTGCACTTATAAGACTACATAAGGTTAAACTAAGAGACCTGCAATGCTGCCACCAACTAGTTATTCTGAAAGAAACTAGTCTGAATTTGTTTTTTATTTAAAGCATAATAAAATGCAATACATATGCCTAGCTGACACAAGAATAAAACTTAGGAACTGCGGTAGATTGTAATACTGTTTCAGTCTATTTATTAGAAATGTCACAGAGAAAAACAGTATCATTAACTAGTTAACAATTCAGACATAATTTATTGTCCATATTCATATTATGTAACTCCACAACTTTAAGATATAGTTTATATACTTCAAATCTCTCCTTTTTTGTGACAAGGGTAGTAGAATGTTTCTCATATCTGGGACAAATGTAGAATCATTTCTGTTGCATGTATTTGGTGCTGATCCAACGGACGATGATTTGGTTGTCAATACTGTCATTCTGTCCTACTCTATTTTATGATCGTGTGCAGGTGCATGCATAGCGATAGCTGAGCTCTTCACAAAATTCCTCATCTCATTAGGATCTACTAATCTTGATTAAGCTAAGCTTTCGTGCTTCATTATTCTAACTGACCTTGGTTGACTACTTTGAAGTATGTATTTTACATCGTAATCATTGTAGAGGATTTGTTGACTTAAATGCTATTTTAATCACAGTTTTAATAATCACAGTAGAATATATAGTATCATTAGGGTTTATAAGCCATCAGATGTGTAGTAGATTTTAGAAACACTTGCGAGTTACCCAAATACTTACCAATGGTAATAGGTCCAGATAGAAATCACTCAAAATCTTGACTTACTGACTCATAGCCCAAAGCATTGATTAGATGATAGGCGGGCCGATAACAGTAAACAAATGGTTAGTTTTGACATTACATGATTATATCGATCGAAACGGCCCTAGAAGCATTCAGAAATAAGTTTACGGATGACAGTGAGCTTACGCACCAAACTAAGGTGCCAATCGAGGAAATCATGCGAGGAGTATGATAGTGCTTGACGTCTACAGCTTTTAAGTTTCAGACAGAATTTATTAACAAAGTGAAGGGAAAGCCAAAGGATTATCCAATATCCTCTATCATCGCAGACATATTCATGGATAGTTTGGAACGGATTGCCCTTCAAACAGTTAGTCCTTTCCAAAGAAACGGTTTCCATGTGTAGATGACACATTTACAGTGCTGAAATCAGAACATGCCAATACATTCTTGACGCATATAAACTTAGAAGTGAATGTAACACAAGTTATCTGTGACTCAGAAAGTAATTAAGATGAGTTAGCAATGTTGGATTCCAAGAATAAACGAAAACAAGATGGAAGTTTAAAGACTAGTGTATGTAGGAAACCTGCGTATCCAAGTCGCTACTTAGACTTCAAATCAATTGACGCTACTTCAATTGAAGTACGCTCAGATAAATACCTAAGCAATAGGACAGAAAACCTACTACAAGAAATTCAACACATCAAGAATACCATGGGTCTCAATAATTACCTATCTGAAACTTCAAGTAAATTGATAAGAAATCGAAAGAGAAATATAAGAAGTAGTAGTCACACAAGTGTTATCAATGATATTTCTTCTAATAATAATGATGAAGGTGACAGGGTTGAGAGAAAATTCAAAGCCTACACTGTGTTACCATATAAATAAGGCACCTCAGCATTGCTGCGAAGAATTCTCAATAAGACTAGGCTTAAAGTGATGTTTAAACGAACAAAGTAGCCTAGAAACCAGCTTCTTAAGTTAAAATATCCCACAGATTTGTTTAGGCAGAATAATTTGGCTCAACAAATCCTCTACAATGATTACGATGTAAAATACATACTTCAAAGTAGTCAACCAAGGTCAGTTAGAATAATGAAGCACGAAAGCTTAGCTTAATCAAGATTAGTAGATCCTAATGAGATGAGGAATTTTGTGAAGAGCTCAGCTATCGCTATGTATGCACCTGCACACGATCATAAAATAGAGTAGGACAGAATGACAGTATTGACAACCAAATCATCGTCCGTTGGATCAGCACCAAATACATGCAACAGAAATGATTCTACATTTGTCCCAGATATGAGAAACATTCTACTACCCTTGTCACAAAAAAGGAGAGATTTGAAGTATATAAACTATATCTTAAAGTTGTGGAGTTACATAATATGAATATGGACAATAAATTATGTCTGAATTGTTAACTAGTTAATGATACTGTTTTTCTCTGTGACGTTTTTAATAAACCAACTTAATTGAAATAACCTAGTTGATTTCAGAGGGTACTGATCACTAGAAGAACATTATAAAATGCATCTTGAAGAAGCTTTGTGACTCACCGTGGAGTGTAACTTCGATTCGTTTGGTGCATGAAAAACTAGAAGAATCTATTGGAAATTTATTTATCATAGAGTAAGGTGAAGTTTAAACTACCTTCAGATACAAAGCTTCACAATCACCAAACAAACAGCATAACTTTACCCCAATCTCATTTAGTCGTGCTCAGATATAAACCTAACCTCACTTTAAATTTAGCTACCTTGTTAGCAGAATTCACATAAGAGATGGGTGATTACTTGTTTACAACTCTGAACAAATTATCTATCAAACTAAACTTGTAGTGATGAAATCGAAATGCAGTTGACAACCACGTGTATGTCAGCACAGTAGACAATGAGTCACGTAAGTTGAATAACGCCTTATGATACTACCTGACTGCCCAGTGTTCAGTAGATAAAGTGGGGTTCGAACCCGTGACTAGTCGTTAAAAGTCAGTTGTCTAGATCATTGAGCCAGAGCCTTACAAGTATGTCAACAATAATGTCTGGAATAAAAATAAGCATAATCAGGATGTGCTTAACTCAGTGAAATGCTTTAAACAAAATTACTATATATATCAAATCTAGTTGTATCCACTTCCTAAACATAGCTGATTTGGTGGATGAAATGTCAACAAAGTATAGTCTCAAGTATTTCAACTTATGATGACTAAATTGAATGAATTCTTAGAAAAAGTAATTTCCTAACTTGAATACAAATTCTGAAACTTGCTTTCACCAATTAGATGGAGATGGTACCTACTTTATTAGACTTCAAATTGTTTCCGTTAATCATACCAGTATTATTTGGCGACACCATTGACCCTGAATGTGCAAGAAAATACACCAGTATTTAGCGGGACCTTCTTTGATCTGTTGGCTGAACCACATAATTAGTAGATTTTATCAGTGATGGGTCTGTTTCTACGCTGTTGATGAAATGTTCACGGTAAAACACAAACCAATTTCGACTCACTGTTTTCTCTACAAACTAAGGCATCAGCATAATCTAACTTTTAAACGGATTTCAATTAACCCGTTCTCCCGTTCATTCAAGACAAGAATAACTGATTCAAAGTTAATCATTTGTTTTTTGTATAGATGCTGATAAATGCATTTCCAAAGTAATTAGAAATATAAAACTTAACGTCACGGAAATGGCCAAATTAAAACTCATATTATGAGATTACTAAAATTAATATTAATTTAAAAATAATCTAAAAATCAAATTAAACAATATTTTGCTTAGCGTACTTTTCAGTCACTGAGTCTTGCATCACTAATCATAACACTGTTCGTAAAATCTTGTAGCACCAGATTCATTCCAAGCCAGACTACGTCGTACACCATGTCGAACTCTAGACCCAGTCAGCCATGATGAATGACCGTAGTAATCACGATCACTCCCAGCCATAGCGATAGCTGAACTAGCCATTGTTAGACGTCTTGCCATGTTCAGCATACTTGATGTTCCATGATTATTGTATGATGTCGATTGAGGTTGAATTGAATGTCTTGTCAAATGCTGTAGTGCCATACTTAAACGTCTAGCTTGAATATGATCTATACCGATAACTACTGGGGTATTTGTCGATCCAGACAGGTGCACAGTAGATGAAGTATTCGGAATATTGCCATCACTTAATTCATTATTAGCACTAACAGTTGTGTTAGAGTTATTCTGTGTTTTGATTGATACTGGTGAAATTATAGTTTTACTTGTCGTGTTTGGAAGGTCTTCAGCAGCCAAAGCGAATGGTACAGACTGTGGATTGAATTTATTTGGACTAGTACGTGTTGTAAAGCACAGCTGAACCAAACAGCCAACTGATGTGAGTGACAATATACATCCAGTTATCAAGAGATATCTTAAATTTAAAAAGTATCCAATCAAAAGAAATACAATACTTAGAATTAGTGCAAGCATCAAGATAAATCTTATTGATAAAAATAGAATATTCTTTTAAGACGTTTCAATTTTTTCCGTCTTGATGCTTTGCGGTGTATTTTTTTTAACTTCGACAGATGCGCTTCAGGAGAGACTGAGTCTGAATACTTCAGTGTTGCAGAACTTTCAGTAATCGAAGATAGAGTTGAAGAAGAGCCGCTGTAGTTATTTCCATTCAATGAATTATCCACGGTTTTGTTAATAACTTCTCTAGTATTATCATTATATGTCACAGAGTATTTCCATTTTTTCCTTGAGTTTTTCGCTATATCTGCTTGGTCATCATGATAACCTACATTTTTCTCTTCGTTTTCATTTTTGCCATCCTTCAGTATATTCGAGTTCCTTTTGTCTTTGATGTTAACTTTATTTAATGCAAGATGTTTATTTCCAAGTGTGAAATTCGATAGTTGATGTTGGCTTTGTTGCTCTGTTTCACCTATTCGTCTTTCTGAAATATTTTGAGAGATATTTACAGAGTTTACCGGTGAATCATTGCCTTTATCACTTGTCATTGTCTCGGTTTCATAAATAACCTCACAAGGGTGTATATTCCCTGTAGATGCTATACATTTAGAATGAGCATTGTCTTGAGACTTCCCAGTAGCCGAGGAAATAGTCTTCATTTTGAACATATCTGATACTCAATTAAAATGAATATCAAAGTCATCTTTCACCCATAAATTAAACCATTGAAGTATTTCCTTTATTCAAACTCATAAGAGGAGGTCATACTTTTAAATTACACACAAAGCAGCAAATGTATTAAGTATTTTCTATGAATGTCTAGAGAATAAAATACCAATCGGATTTAGCTAAGCTCATCAAGGTCAGATATTATGATAGCCAATCAGATAATCGTGCTGTAATTTCGATTAATCAACACAACTAGGATTCGTAAACTGATGTGCCTGTATTAGGAGAGAAAACAAAAACCAAGTTGCTGTGTACAAGACTAATCTACACATTATGAAGATGAAATTCATTAACTTAGTCAATAATCACATGCTATGATGAAAAGCTATTTAATTCCTGATAATTCATCATAACTGTTTACAGGATTGTAGTAAAAATTGCCAGCACTTAATAAACACATACAAAGTTACATTTGACAAGTTAGTTGCAAACATTTTATACGTCCCAGGAATTGATCTTAATCTGTTTTAATGTAACTCTATTCGAAAAAAGATTCGATGAAGTAAATCATAATGTAGGACGGAAAAATTCAGAAACGAGAAGGTTTAAAAGGCTTTAATTATGGATTTGTAACTGTTTCTAAATATTTATAACTGTTGACGATTCATTTCCTTTACAAATTATTTCAACCAACAAGCATACTACTGAAATTTATAAGGTAGTGAGTGCTGTTATTCAATCGATTAGGTTCTAATTATCAAACCGCCACAGAGTAGTAACAATAAGCAATGAAGTAAAAATAACCAAGTGTATTTATACATCTTGAAAATAACAACGTTGTATTTTCTTGATTGCATTGGTTTGTAGACCTTTAGTCACCATGAATCTTAATAGCTTTAACAAGAAGTTTTAGAAAAATCTATTCGTATGCCTTTAAATTCAGTACTGGTAAGGCACCTTAACATTTAGACCACTAAATCAAGTTTCACTGAATGGTATTTTCAAATTCATCAATCATTATATAGCCCGTAAAAACTATTTTAAGCACTGATGATGTGAAATAACTTCCAAGCATCGACTGAGAAACTCGATGTGACAACCATTTTCAGTCATTAAAAGATCAGCATTAAAAATCACAATCACTGACTAAGGCTAGCAGTTCACAGACGGCTTGCGATGTGGTAGGCCATACAACCTTCCACTTTATGTTTCATTGGGTCATTGTGAAGACTCCTCTTTAAAATTATTAGATTTTAACGTCTATTGCTGACGTCTAATATGTTTTCAATACTTTACTTAACCATCAGGAAAAACAAGACCCAAAAGTGGCAGTTACTTTCTCCTGATAATATTTAACATATAATTTGCGGAAGACTATTGCTGCCCGTTGAATTTAAGCCCAGTCGGTGTGATTCTGTAGTCGCAGCAGTTATCGCTGAGATTTCTGTCTGGTCTGCATGCTACCCAACCAAGACAATCACTTTCTGGATAAGCTGAAATTCGGTGTCGAGTAATCTCGTCAATAGCCTATGTTACGTTTAACAGACGACCTACTGAATCGTTGAATGCTGAAAAGAAGGTCCTTACATTCATGATATTGAATAGTTAATTTAAAATTATTTATATTCAAGACTTTAAAATCATTTTTATGAAGCGCATCTGAAATATTCAGCGGGCTGATGCACCAACTTTAGACAACGAAACATCCCCATCGAGTCACAAAGAAAAGAAGAGATAATTAAGCGAAAAAATGTTCTTATTTGACTGTATCATTTTCTAAGGCTGTTCACTCGTTCTTATATATGTCACGAATGCATAAAAGTCGATTATTAAGTAGTAGGGTATAACTGCACCCCAGTGAGCTATGTTGTCCCCACGGAAACTCTATCCTGGTACCTATCAAAGTGTTACCCATTAGGCCTCTGAGGTATGGTAGCCACCTCTTGAACACCGGGTATAGTTACGATTATATACTGATATATTTGTAAGTTTCGTTGTATTGTGTTGTCTGAGATGGGTTGTTTAAATAACCAAAACCAACCACCTCAGCTGCAAATATTCTCCATCCTACTTGCAATTCTCCTTTGTTCAACCTCTGTTGGCACATGGGCTCCCATGTGAATACCTCGATATTTCCTGAATATTTATCATAGATTCCTCTGCTTGGTTGCGGCTAGCAGAGGAATCAAAAGTATATCAACAAATATTTACAACCAGTACCCGCCGTACAAGAGGTGGCTGTTGTGCAATAGTGGACAAAAGCTTTGGCGTTTGGACGGATGGGCAGGAGGTTCGAGCCTCGGCGACAACAACACTCACTGGGGTGCCAGTACACCCAGTTGATGAGTCCCAAATAGGATGAAACGCGCCTCTTAGATCCCTCTGCTAGCCACAACTAAGTAAATTATCATGATTAATATTCAGGTAGTATACAGGCATCCATATAGAAACCCATATCCTAACAGAGGTCGAACAGTCTGATCCAGTATAACAACGGAGAATTACTAGTATGTCAACAAATAGGATATCCTTGCATCATTAAGCTGGAGCTAAAAAAAAACTGGATGAAAGATGGAAAACAGTTGAGTTATAATTTTTTAGACAGTTAAAGTAATGAGAAACGCAAGGAGTTTGACAAGGTGAAAATTGTTGACAGACATGAAATGCGAAGACTGTGTCCACCTGATAGATATAAAGAAGCTGAAAAATTGTGAAAGTGTTAAGCCAGTGGCAAGATAAGAAACTGAGCCTACTTCTTCTGTCCGCAGAGATCAGGCTTAAATTGATGTTGATGCATATATTACAGACTGTCTTCCAATTCGGCATCTCCTCTAATTGCATTTAAAACAATGAAACAAAGACAAGGAAATTATCATAGGTATATTATCCTAAATGACCTGTAGCTTCGTTCGTTTTGCATAAAAGGTGTTTATCATTTCTGTTTCTTTTGCCCTTTGATTGTCATCTAGGAATTCTCTACAGGGAAATGTCTTTAGTAATTTAATAATTCCCATTGTAACATCAGGAACAAGATATTCATAAATGCCTATGTCATCACCCGCTCCATTATTATTGTCATCACCATATAGTGTTTAGTTTTCCTCACAGGATATAATTTTTTCCAAATACGATTGTACAGCTTGAAAATAAATTCGTTGAAAAGTGTCTCTTCGCTGAATATCTTGTTCTAAATGTCTTTGGAACAAGGACTTCTTTAGAATAGCATCGCTCTTGACACCGGAAGCTGGATACTACCTTGGCGAAAAATTATATGGCATCATCGGAAGCTGAACAAATTATACTAGAGCAGAAGGTATGTTTCATACCCTTGCGTAGACATAATTTTAAAATAATAAGTCAAGAATTAACGCATGTCTCAGTAATTAATCACAGCAAATTATTACCGTCTGCTATAAGATACTAAAGACTTACCATTAATTTTAATTTACTCTTCTGAATGTAACCGCGTTTTCATGGATAGACTTTATATCTACATAAAATGAAGGCACCTGAAAACCAAAATCATATTAAATGTAATTACAACGGTGGTAAGATTAAAATTCACGTAAACATTTTGCACATCTCTCCATGCTAGCTAAAATTATTACGAGAGTTTAGACAAACGAAGAACTGTATCTAAGTAGAGTTCAATAACACAATCAGCAAATAAATATGAATGTACAAACATTCGATTAACAGGATGAATAATAACTGATTTCTTACTCTGAACAATAAAAACAATTAACAATGTGCTAAAATTAACACCTCATCACGAAAATACAAATCTATATGTAAATACTAACCATACATCAGAACCTTTGAATCAACGAACGCTTGCAGCTTGTGTAAATCAATTTCTGCTTGTTAGGAACGCATAACTTTGGCTAATTAACCATTATTCCTGCACCGATCAGTTATACTGATCAAAATAGAAGAATATGAAAGTGTTATATTCATTACCCGCTCAACAGAAGTACTCAGTATCACAATGTGCACAGAGGTCATTGTGCCATTCAAATAAATTCGCAACATATTCCAAAGGCATTCCAAGTCACAAATCATCATATAATACTACATATTAGTTGCTACACATCGAATGTTGTGTGTGGAATATTGACACATATAAGGTTTTCAGCGAAGCATGAAATTCAAGTTTGATAGAACTAGAAAGCTTCGACTTTTCCAGGCAGACGGAAGTATTTCAGCGTCATCTAACAGAAGCTCAGACAATTTTCACTGACAAATCCTAAACAATAATCAAACAAACTTTTTTCAAGTTATTAAGAAATACCACCTGAAACTTTATTCTCAAACATCTTGAATGGAGACTGGAGTTCAGTTGCCTTAATTAAGCACATCACGCTAAAAAATCGAAAGATGGACAGTAAAAAGCCGAGATGAAGAGCCAAAATTAGCTTCATTATATATATAACGACTTTGGTAAAAGGATTTTACAATTAATAACTAATGAGTTTTATGAAAACTTTTTATATGCATACATGCACACAGGCAAATAAAATAAATAGGATGAAGTTTACTGGTGAATAAGTCCTAAAGAACTACTTTATGGTCAACTTAGCCTTGAGGATTCGAAATAATACTCTGATAACAATCAGCTTATATACATATTTTGTGTGTTCATGTGCGTAGATACTCACAAAATTGTCTGAAGTAATTATAAAGTTTTTCTTAAGGAAGTTCAGTACAAGTAAGATATGTGTCCATTCTTTTCTCGGAACACATACAAAAAACATGAATTTTTCCAAGACAGCTAATTTATATTTTAAAAATCTTCATAAGCAGATAACAGTATATGTGAGAAAAGTGATCAACGTCATCATTTTTCCACATAAAAGTTTGAGAATTTTGTGGAAGAAAAAATAATTTTTCATGCTTACTTATGATTCATTCAAAAGGAAGACATATTTACTTTCTATATAATTCACTGCTTTGGTCATTTGTATCATTACTTAGTCTCTTCCCTTGTTTTCTTTTCACATCACGCTAAAAACGTGATAGACATAATACAACCGAAAACTGAGTTGATGAAAATCGAAATTCTTATAATATGCCTGCGAAATTTGCTCATGTGTATAAACAGCCTTTTTATAAGACTCATTGGTTCTGGAAAATAAGATTATAAATATGTACTTCTCATTAGGAAATGAAGTTTATTTGACCACTGCGTAGTTAATTATTTTCTAAACCGCACTGACCATGAAGTTCGAACTCACAATTTTCCCTTTATTATATAGTTTATGAGATTGACTAGTATGAAATCGATATAAGGTAACGGAAGAGTGAAACCCATGAAAATCTGACTTGGCAGTTTCTGTAGAATTCTGAACTAAGTTGAGTGCAGTTGCCCAGTGGTGTTGAGCTCTTGGATGCTGTTTGAATAACATTTCCATATAGGCTGTATATTTCATATGAGAACGATTTGTGGGATGGATTTGTGGTACTTTCACTTGCTGTAACAGCATTAGAAAGGCGCTGATGATATTTCACTCACCAAATAAGAAAATTTGATTAGGTGAATTTCTGGGATTCACTGGATTTGAAGTAACAATGGTTCTGGGTTTGATCCTGAAGGGACAAGGTCATGGGTACCCAGTATTGAGGAGTTCTATAGTCGGAAGAAACAGCTATCTAGTCCTCCCAGGTTTCCAATGTTTTTGCAAGAGATGTCAGTTCCATTATGAATTCCAAACTGAAACTAATAATGAACCTGTTCAGTGTCGGAATCCAGTATTTGTTAGTTGTGAATGCTGGTGTTCATCATTCAAATGTGTCACAGGAACGTTAACAAAATCATGCAACCTTATTGTTTAACCACATGACTCTTATTTCTAGTGTCGCAAATATGTTCCTAACCTAGTCGGGACTCTAGCGACTCGATCCAAATGTGTGACTTATGTCGGACTACATTGTAAAAGAACTTATACTATTGTCAATGTTACCTGCAGCATCAGTAGTGGGACATTCATGGCTTGTATCCTATTAAAAAATGAATCACAAGCATCAGGATAAGTACCTTTTTCCTAAAATGTTATTTTAACTGGTTGTAAACTTATAAATTCATTGTGAGATAAACTTCGTCGACTTTGAAAACGACTGTCCGAACCACATAAAATAATTTCATCTACTCAATCAACACTACGCACTTATAATGGGATCAAATTTAAAGGGTAATCATTTAATCGAAATCACTTACTTTTTCAAAAGACTTGAATTTAATAGAAGCTAACAACTTATCACAGTGCGTTACATCAGCATCAAAAAAATGTAATATGGGATTTACATTTCAGCACTGTGTCCTTACACTTTTACGCTTGTTCTTATTGTCAACATTCTGTGGCTTAGTGTGAATGCTTATGCAATCGTTCGTATACTAGATTGGTAGAAAACGGACACATCGAAAAACATGAGGACGGGGAGAACAAGGATTGTCACAGTGTACATACCATATCCTTCTGAGTGACGCCCAAATTTACTCATTCGGCTTTCGATACATTGAACTGAATTGAGTTCTCTTCTGTCTAATTAAGAATAATGAATCTGATTTTCCGATTAAGTGTCAAAGTAACTTCTTGAGCATAAAATATAGAATACTCAACTTTGTTTACCACAAGCATTTACAGGTAATTATTTTTGGTTGTGTATTATACTTGCAACCTCGCCTGGTTAACTAGTTCACTAGTTACTAGCTGGTCCTAAGCCCGGGTAAACACGGAAGGTTGGGCATACGGCTAGCAACCCACCACGGAAAACAAATCTAACCGCTAAACAAACTTCAAAGCACAACAAAATATAAAAAATAATAACAAAATTATTCCTTCCCGGAATCGGAGAGGCGAAAGCATGCCCGTTGGTGAAAGCCTTCGGGAAGCCAATTGATCAATGTGTCTTCACTTCTCTCGATGAAAGCGAAATAAACGTGGGGACACGGAATATCCGAACCATGTTTGAACCCAGCAAGGCAGCCCAGATTGCAAACGAGATGAAGAGGTATCACATTGAAGTGCTAGGAATTTGCGAGGTGTAAGCAGATGGAATGGAAGTGGACTCTCCAAACTGTCAACTCGACAATCAATAATCTACACCTATATTATCACCCAGACGACAACAACAAGAACACTGAGTTCCCGAGTGGCTATCATGATGTCCCCAACAGCATCGAAGGCTCTCATGCAGTGGGAACCAATCTACTCCTGCACGATCAGGATCAGGATCAGGATCATGACAGCAAGATTCCACTCCTCAAAAGGAAGGTAGGAAGGAAGGAAGGAAGGAAGGTCACAATCATTCATTGCTACGCTACGCTACGCACTTACAAATAATGCAGAGCGAGAGAGGAAGGAGGAATTCTACAGACAACTGCAATCAACACTGGACAAGACACCACTCAAGTTGGCGATATCAAAATTCTAATGGGTGACATGAATGCCAAACTGGGAGCAGACAACACAGAGGAGAACTAACCATGGTCGAGAGGCACTCGGTGAATGAAGAATGAGAATGGAGAATTGTTTGCAGAATTCTGTGCATTCAACGATTTGGTGATTGCAGTGAGGTAGTGCGTACAAACACCAGAATATTGACAAAGCAACACGGATCTCACCAGACACCAGAACACACTAAACATCAGATCGACTTCATCTCAATGTGAAGAAAGTGGAGGCGCAGCCTACTGGAGACAAGTCAGATCAAGAAGGAGATCTGATGTAGGTTCACACCACTCACTATCTAGTGCAAGGAACCCACCCTCAAAATCAAGTTGAAAGCCTTCAAGGAAGTTGGTGATAGACCACAGTTGAACGCAAGGTGAACACCCAGAACACAAACTGAACTGAAGGACGAAACTACAAAGGGCATCTTCACGACAGCCATCAGGACAAAATGCGAGATATCGAGGAACATCCTTGAAGAAACCTGTGTGGAAGAACATTGGAAGTCTTTGAAAGGGATGTGGAAAGAAACCTGCACAACCGTATTAGGAAGGAAGAAGAAAGAAGACAAGATAAGGAATGGATCTCGATGGACACATGGAAGCTGATAGAGCAGGGAGAGGAGGATGGTGAAGCAGAAGATGAACCAGTGCAAGGATGTACAACGACAATAGGAACTGAGTACAGTGCATAAAACACTACACTGGACAAAGAAGTGAAGAGAGTGAGTGCACGGAAAGACAAAAGACACTTCCACGACACACTGCAAGTGAAGCAGAACAGACTGCTGGTAGGAGAAATAGAGACCTGACAACATTGTATCAAATAACCAGGTTACTATCTGTTATAGAGAGATCAACACACATGAAACCAATAAAAGATGATGAAGGAAATTTAATTACCAAAGAAGAGAAAGAAACGAATCGATGGACCAACCACTTCAAGAAGCTCTTGAATCGACCACCACCACCATCACACTTGCACGTCGTCCAGAAATACTACCTGCAGCCGCTGAACTACAAGTGAACATAAAATCTACAACAAAAATGGAAGTCCTGAACGCCATAAGCTACTGAAATACGGGGAAGCAACAGGACCAGATGAGATCCCACCAGAAGCACTGACAACAGACTCAGAGACAACGGTAGACATGCTCACACCACCATTGCAGAAGGTGTGGAAGGAAGGGAAGGTACCTGCCGGTTGACTGGAAGAAGGGTTGCCTTTTCAAACTGCCGAAGAAGGGAGACCTCAGTGCTTGCAAGAACTAAGGTGGAATCACGCTCCTGTCCACGCAAAGCAAGCAAAATATTAGGTCGCATCATCGTGGAGAGACTGAAGGATGCACTGCCTTCGAAACTACGACTCGAACAGGCTGGCTGGCTGGCTGGCTGGCTGGCTGGCTGGCTGGCTGGCTGGCTGGCTGGCTGGCTGGCTGGCTGGCTGGCTGGCTGGCTGGCTGGCTGGCTGGCTGGCTGGCTGGCTGGCTGGCTGGCTGGCTGGCTGGCTGGCTGGCTGGCTGGCTGGCTGGCTGGCTGGCTGGCTGGCTGGCTGGCTGGCTGGCTGGCTGGCTGGCTTCAGGAAGAACAAATCATGTACCGACCAAATTGAAAACCTACACTACGCATCATCAAAGAACAGAGTATAGAATGGCAGTCAACTCTCTACCTCAACTTCATCGACTTTGAGATATCCTTTTACAACGTAGATCGAGAGGTAATTTGGAAACTGCTTCAACATTACGGAATACGCAAACCTTTATCAGCCTCATTCAACAAGTATATGAAGACGCCACATGCCAGCCAAGTAATTCACAATGGAAAGATCAGTGATGCCACTGAAGTGAAGTGAAGACAGGAGTGAAACAAGGTTGCCTACTATACCCCATGATATTCCTGATTGTGGTCGACTGGACTGAATCATGCAACAAACAGTGGGATGTTGTGAGAAGAGGGGGATACGCTAGCTGGACTGCGGAAAAGAACCTAGAAGATCTTGATTTCGCCGATGACTTGTGCCTGATGTCACACAAACTTGAAGATCTACAGGCGAAAACTAACAAGTTGGCAGATGAGGTAGGGCAGCGAAGACGGGACTTCAAGTGAATATAGAGAAGACAGAGGTGATGAAGATACCGTACCAACAATTCCAACAGCAACAACAACAACAACCTCCAATCACCATGAACGGGAGAAACTTAAAGGAAGTAACCTCCTTCATCTATCTAGGAAGCACTGTTTCAACTACAGGCAGCGCAGACGACGATGTCAAAGCCAGGCAGGATCGGAAAAGCAAGACAGGCGTTCATTAGCCTGAAACCAGTGTGGAGATCTTCTGCACTCAGCATAAAGCGTGAACAAGATCCGGATTTTCAACACCAACGTCAGTCAAGTCAGTGCTTCTATGTGATGGTTCAGAGACTTGGCGCGTTACGAAAGGGATTTCCAACAAACTACAGACATCCATCAACAACTGCCTACACTGGCTCGTTACTGAATATCAGATGGCCAGAATAATAAGAATAATCAACAAGAAACTCTGGCTGGCTGGTGACGAACCAACCAAGAACCTATCGCTGAAGAAATATGCACTGGAAGGAAGTGCAGATGGATTGGGGATGCACTGAGAAGGCCGACTGGGGACATAACGCATCAGGCCAGGTATTCGAGTGGAACCCCGATTGGAAGCGACGAGTTGGGCGTCTGAGGTGATGGTGACATGGAGGAGATCGTGCGAGGAGGAAATGAGAGCTTGTGGGTAGTCGTGGAGCCAGGTTCGAAATATTTCAGAGAACAGAGCGCATTGGAGATATGCTACTGAAGCTCTATGTTCCATTATGAACCCAAGGGACTAATAATAATAGTTGCAGATACAATTGACTTTTGTTTTGGCGTTGACTATTCATTTGTACGCGTATGTGAGAAAGTTACTATGGTTTACTAATTTTTGAGACTGGATTAAAGAATCCACTTCGAATTTCTACGTAGAAAGATTATCAGCAAGTCAAATAATATGATCAAATTCATAAGGAATGT